TAGAGGATAGTTGCTTCTCTTTTACAGGTAAAGTCTCTTGAGCCACAGAGTAGGGCATCAATTTTGACCTTGGTCAAATACAGCCAAACCTTGGAGCAGCTGGTCTTTGGTTTTCACTAGCTGTTTCTCCAGAACGGCAACCAGCAGAACTAACGAAGAAGAAAACCTCTGGGACAGCAGTTGTTATCCATGGAAATACCATAGATGTATCGAGCCTGCAGACACTTATTCCATCGCTTTAAAACTAGAGGCATTTCTTATTTTTCTGGTTTTACTGTAAAGTAAAAGTAGAGTAAACCTGTCCTCCTTTCCCCACCACTTTCATGCACTAGGGTACTTCACCTGTTTGAGGGTGAGGCTCTTGCAGATTTCTGTGCTGCATGTGCTACCTGCAGTTGCAAGTCAGAACTGCCCGATATGAAGGGGAAAAAAAGGCTGCATGCCTGCAGGAAAGTCACAGGCCATGTATAACGTGCCCTCTGTATTAAAGATTTAATGTTTGCTAGACTAGCTCTTCTAATCCTGCTCCGGTAACACACAATTTAATTATTTCCTCCAGTGTGCTGCTAATTAGCGAGTAGTGGGAGGCTGGCACACCCTTCAGTAGTGAAGAGGCGTCAAGTAGGAACTTTGGCTTCAGAGTATGGGGTTACCCAATTTTCTGAGTATTTTCATCTGCTGTAACTTCAGTTCCTTACTCTTCTTAAATGCATCTTCAAATAAATTCATGAAATTCTTTGTTAATAAATGTCCAGGCTTCAACAGATGAGTTTTGTGACTGCTGTTAGTTGATAATAATGATGTGTCTGATTTTTTTTTTATTTTTAATTTAGTTCAGTGATCCTAATTAGTTTCTTTCTCAATAAATGTGATTTTTTTTTAATGAGTCATATAATGTAGATGAAAAAAACTAGCAGACTCCAACTCTTAAGAAATGGAAGTCTTTCAGCTTTTTTTTTTTTTAGATTAACTGCAAAACTATCATGTTCTACATCTCTAAAGCAAGTAGAGCAAAATCATAAAGACCTTCTGTTCGTTCCTTGCAACTTAGTCATTTATCCTGAATAAATGGGGAGAGCATGCTTAAAACCATGCCTACACAAGATGTTTTTAAAGATATACCTATTCAGTCAAGATCTAAGAAATGTTTTACTGTTTGGTTTGGGTTTTTATTTTATCTTTAGGTTTGGGTTAGTGCAGACTTTAGTACTCAAGTGTTTAATAGCTAGTTGACATCCTGGAAGCAACCAGCCTCTGTAACTTAATATGAGAAGAGTGAATTAGCACCTGCTGAGTTGGATGCTACCTGGAGTAGGGTAATTTAGCCCGGCCAGCAGCAGTTACCAGCTCTGGTTTGCTGCTGCAGCAAGGAAGCTACCAAAAGTAACATGAGTACTACAAGAGAACTCTTGAAGCTGGGCAATTAGATAGTATCTCAGAGATCTAATTATCTAGGCTCCAGTTATGTTGGGTTGTGCTCAGCATTAATCCATGTAAAAAGATAGTGTTTGTCAGGCAGACTTTGCAGTCATGCCCTGTTGTTAAAGTGTCTGTCTTGTTATGGATAAACTGCTTTCCATAACAGATTAGAGCTTCCAGCATTGGTATTTTCCTTGAAGTTGCACAGCGGCTGTGACAGGTCTGGGATAGCAGCATTCATTTGCTAAATAACTGCCTTTTGGTGCTGGCTCCTAGAATTTTGCTGTTGTAGAAAGCAGAATCTTGGGTTTGCAGAAGCAGCAGGTAAAATGGGCCAATCAGTGATATGTGCCACTGAGAGGCAAGATAGACCAGGCTGCTCCTGTGTATTAGTGAAAGCAGGAGAGCACATTACTCTGCCAAGCAGCACTCAGCATTGCACTGGACACCTTCTCTTCCTGTCATCAGGTTGCATCTTCCTCAGAAGAGTGACCTCTTCACCTTAGAGAACAGTTTAATTAGTCTTTTGGTATTTACTTCTGTAGATTTTTTTTTCCAGTTTGGAGAACTAAATTAAAAATTTGCTCCTGGTTGGTTGCAGTAGATAGAAGTGTAAGATCCTCCTACAGAAAAGATTGGTGGTTTGCAAGAATGTTTAACTGTATCCATTTTTAATCCAATGCTGTTCGTCTCTGTGGGAAAACCTGTTCAAAATTTAAATTCTAATGTCTTACTCTTTATAAGTCCTCCCTTTTTAGTCTTGAGACAAAGCCTAAGCAATTCCAGGATATATCTAGACGTCCCTTATGATAACTTTTCACATTTGGTCACCTTAGCACAAACTTGACGGAGGGACAAGTTTTGTAACAGCCCCTGAAACGGAGTTTCTTGGCCCAGCAGCCACCAAGAGGTGTGCATGTCATTCCTGGCCAGCTATTTCATTGCATCTGTTCTATTCCATACCAGCAGCAATGTTGGAATTCCATTTTCTAAGCAGGCAAAGTTGTGCTTCAGCTCTGAAGGTACTGAGGTGGAAGGTTGTTTGGCTATGGAAGGGAGCCAAGGCTATTGCATCTGAAGGAGGGAGGATGTGGCTTGTTGAAACAAACTACCCCTCCTTCTGTGAGGAGGGGTGAAATGCTGTGCTCTGTTAGGGCTCTCAGTCCAAAAGGCCACAATCAAATGCAGCTCCTGTTATTGAGAAATCCCATAGCTGAAGACAGACATGATAAATGCCTTAAGGGTTGGAGGGGCTGTAGAGCACACGCTTCACTAAACACACAAAATCACCTGTCAGGCGAGGGTTTCTCTGCTGTGTAGATTTTTTTAGTGTCTGATAAGGTGCACTGTACTGTATCTTAATGCAAGACTGGCATCTTTGATGGAATTTTATTTATGCTTTAAAATTAACACAGTGAGAGTTATCTGCCCATATTGTTTTCTTTAATTTTGTTCACTTTACTTTGTTTTAGAAAAATTATATTTAGGCCTCTACTTAGAAAGAATAGCATCTGTTAAAAATACTCTATCTTTGCCTCAAAAAAAATTACAAAAGTAAAATATAAGTTATAGTTCAACTTCACTGAACATGACAGAAGTACGTTACATTTACTGTTCTGTTGACTATGTTAAGGGTCCTATTATGTTCACCAAATTCATCTTTCTGAAAGCCTGTAGTGATCAGCATATAGAATAGTCTGCACGTAGTCGCTTAGTTCATATTTCTTTCTTTTTAATGCCAGAAGGCTATTATCTAGTACTATTACAAGGCATTGAGAGCTTCAGTTGTTTTTCTGATTGCTGCAGTCTTCCAAACAGGGAACTTCACAGAGGACAAGTTAATCCCTCATAATGAAATCACACCATGAAGTGGTTCATACTAATCAGGGCTTCTTTTGCTTTTAAGCACATGACATGGTTGTAATCATTGCTGTTTCAGTTACAGGTATTTTGGTGAAGAAAAATGAATTTTATGTCATATGACTTCTTTGCACTTAATTGGCAAAAATATAGAAAGATTAACTTCAAGTTCTTTTATAAAAAGATCTACACATGCGAATATCTTCTCCTGCAGGATGATAAAATTGCGTTCTTTTCGGCCATGAATATCATATGCATCGTTTTGCTGGGTGGATTATGCAGAAGCTATTAAATGTGTACATTATTTTCACAGATCCAACAGAGAAGGTGACTATTCAAGTGCTGTCACAAAGTAGGACCATTAAAGAAGGCGATAACATCACTCTGAAATGCTCAGGAAATGGCAACCCTCCTCCACAGGAGTTCCTGTTTTACATTCCAGTAAGTCCTGCCTTGCTGTCAGTGCATAGTGAAATATTCTGTATCATCCCTTCCTACAGACATTGCTACGTGTCAGTGTATATGTGATTTTATAACAAATGAAGGAAGGAATTCAATGCGACAAACACTGACGACAGACATTGGCCATTATATCAGACTCTGAGAACGCCTCACCTCAGTTTTTTGAAAAAAAGTTGCTCCTTCCCCACAGCCCACCTGAATTTTTCAGAAGTTAGACCCTACTAAAAATTACGAGGCTTCATTTCCCATCATTATATACTTTAATAAACAGCTTTGATGACAGCAGTTTAGCATCTTAAAGAAAACTATCTCATCTGTTGTCATAACAAAAATCCAGCAGTGAAAGTACAGGAAATTAACAGCTATTTTTTGGACTTTCATAGATGAATCTTTGTGCAATTTCTTTTCTTCAGTTAATGAATTGTTTGGTGGCATAAAACCACAAAAACTAATGTGTGTGACAGCACAGGAGAACAAATCTGCCAAATTTGTAAGACACAGACTGAGAAAAATAAAAGCTTTGTTACTATTAATCTTCTTAGTATTGGTGAAATCCACAGACAGATGTGGCTTTATATTCCAAGACTTCTGGCCCTGCTTCCCATGTCCTGCTTCTTGCTCCTATATTATATCCCTTATTTGTTCCTACTGCAGTAGTGAGCAGAGCTGATCTTGAGAGAAGCCAAAAGAAGTGGCATGTTTTCAGGTATTTCAAAACCAACATGTCACCATTTGAGCATAATTGTCATCTACTCTGGACTCCTGGCATGTTTGAGTTGCTGAAGAGCAGCAAGGGAAACTGCGAGCTGAAATCCTCTTATCTCAGAACGGCCATTTAGTCATCCTAAGAACTCACTAAATGCCAGGAAAAAAGTGTATGGTATCTCTCCTTCCTCCACTATCGCAGTCAGTGAGCTAAACACCCAAGTTTGTCTTATCTTCTCCCTGGTACCCGATACTAGTCCTTTTTCTCAAGGAGAGCTGGAGTTGGTGATTTCTTTGCAAGACTCATGGGTATTATAAATCTCTCTCTGGATTCAGAGATAGGAATTAAGGTATCAGTCTGTGCTTGTTTTAAAGCTGATCTGTCTGTCCATTGTAATCAGGGGGAAACTGGGGAACTGGACAGCCAGAAAGCAACACTTGCTGGCTAATTCAAAACACCAGTGTCTATAGATAACTGCATAGGAAGTATTGTATATCCCAACAGGCTCTATATCATGATGTGGATAAAGCAAGGTTTGCTTGTGCCATTCAAGGTGTGTAATGCAGTACAGTTCACTTAATGATTTTTCCTCATCTGAATATATCAGAATCAGATTTAAAACCACAAACTGTTCTGCTGCTTTGATTTCTGCAACACTTTTATTCGTAGACTGTATCTTTCTGCAAAACTTTCAAATTTTGTATTTTAATGTCCTCTACAAATGATTTAGTCATTCAGTTAAAAGAGTAAGCTTGTAGGTGTTTTTTTAGCTATGTTGTCATGTAGGAAGTAAACCTTACTATATTTAACAGGTAGTTCCACTTCAGTGTGTGTATTTTGGAGTATTTCATCATTCTTATAATAAAAAATCCTCAACAAAAATTAATGGTTTTAGCAGGCCCATATACAATAAATGTTTTGTTTTCCATCTGCAGGGAGAAACAGAAGGTATAAGGAGCTCAGATACTTACGTAATGACAGATGTCAGGCGGAATGCAACAGGAGAATACAAATGCTCTCTGACTGACAAAAGCATGATGGATTCAACCACCATCACTGTGCACTGTAAGTCATTGCATTTTGCATTCCTGTCTAGGATACAAACTGATCTTGGACCTTCCAGAATGCCCTCTTTGCTTAGTTAGGTAGATTAGTTCAGTTGCTTACAGGAGAACTGAGTGAAGCAGTTGGTTTGAAGTAGTGTCTGGTCATTTTTCTTTATTCTAATGTATTTCTGTTTGAAAATCCTAACTTTCTGTATTCATTTGCCTAGATACAGTTTCACTTTATGTAACTTTTGTATAGTATATGATATTATTGCACTGTCACATACAGTGAGAATTTTGGTATTTTATATATCACTCATGTGAACATATACGTGGCAGATTATTTTCCTCCAGCTGTGCCTTAGAATGCACACAAACACCAAGCTGATCCACAGTGATATCACTGAAAGTCATTCTTCATAGCCAAGTTCGTATTTACCTCAATGAAGGTAACGTGTAAGGAGTGTAGAAAAGAGACTTAGGAAGTCATTTTGTTCACATAGGAAAAATTGCTTCTTTTACTTTTCCCAGAATCATGACAGCTACAGACCTCAGTAAATTTTCTTTAGCTGGATACTAGAGTATTTACTCATACTATCAGCAGCACTTCAAAAGCAGCCATTGAACTCGTTGAACCACTGAAGCAATGGTTGCTTTTAATCTCTTTATGTGAGAAAACAAGAGCAGGAACTCTTTCAAACTCTGCTCTGCTATCACAGGCTGTGAAATGAGACTCAGGCTAGTGGTAGTAGGTTTTCCCTAAAAACATTGATGGTTTGTAGTCTTCACAGCAGCACAAATACCTTTAGTAGTTGACAGGTTCAGAGGGATCTGATAGATAATGAAGTTTAAAGGCTTCTGCAGTAGTTATGCTTTACATAAAAAGAAATTTCATGTTTGTACACTTGGTTTTGATTTTTTTTTTCTTGAAAGAGTTACAATACATGCATAATATCACATAATCACAGAATATGCTGAGTTGGAAGGGACCCACAAGGATCATTGAGCCCAACCCCTAGCCCTGCAGAGGACCATCCCCCAGAGTCACAACATGTGCCCAAGAGTAATATATCTGTACATGAATAATTACACTATTCCATTTAATGAATATTTTGCCTTTAATACGATCATCCACTGTCATCCTATTCCCCCCCCCCCCTTTTTGCCAAGAGTTGGGTGTGTAAGATCTGAAAAGAGCCCTGTACTACTACCTCTTAACTGCCCAATATCAAAAGTAGATTGCTGGTCTTTTGCTCTGGTATAACTGACCCTTTTATCTTACTCCAAGTGTCTACCTATACTTTGATAAATAGTTATTCTAAAGAATGGCTTCCTCAGCTCCAAGTGATTTATAACAAGCCAGTTTTCCTTTCTCTATTTTCTCTGCATGTTGGAAGAGCTTTAGTATGCCAGAGAAGCATGTATTTTCTTGGCACAAGTCTTTCCAGTGTTGGCAGCTAGCGCAGCTACTCGGAACTCATAGGTACACTCTAGCACCCTATTGCTTCTCTTCATTTAGGATTCACTTTGTTATGTTCTGTTTTTCCAAAATACCGCTACCTGCAATAAAACTGTTGTTTAACTGAGGCACAGTGGCCTGGAATAGTTCTGTAATTCCTGAATATCCAGACAATGCCCCGTCTTTAAGGTATTTTGGTGTCTTGCCTTATGCTGGTCTAAAGCCTTTCTGCAGCACTTTTTTTCCTCCTTCAAATAATACTTACTAATGCCTATCAAATCCTACTTTTTCTCCCTCTTTTGCTTTATTGCTTACCTTTCCACATATAGATGAATATTTCTGTCTATGCTGTTACACCTGAAAAAGCCTTGATTAGGAGTCAGGGCTTTCCATTTCCTCACATCCAATCTCAGCATTTTAGCTTTTTTATTTTCTTTTTAAGAAACCCAAAACCATGAACACAACAAGAAGGCAACAGTATAATAATTTTGGTTTTAATCTGGGAAACTATTTATAGTAATTCGTTATATTTTCAATGTAGTGTTTTTTCACAAACAAATTTTATTGAGGATTATAATTACACTGGTTCCTTTCAGTGTCTAGGTAGGAAAAGCTTCTTGCTGGTATGAAAAAACATTGTCCTGTCGTAGCCCTCAAGTATTTTTGTAGGAAAATATTCTGGCTGAATACTGAGCTCTTTTTTTCCAAGGTGAATATAAATTATAAGACTCGCGGAAAGCTGAAAATTTACAGTAAAGCATCTGAGTTACCCATAATGTTTAGGGAAATACTTTATTTATGAAGAAAATTGCAGGGGGGGCCGAAAGATTCTCTTACCTTATCCACAGAATATAAAGGACAAACTGGACAACTCAAGCTCTTGTCCCTCAGAGCAGGATTTGTGCAGCCGGGTCCCAGGGTAAAGTCCAGCAGAACTGAGTGCTTGCAGTTGGCATGATGTGTCCCTCAAGAGAGGGAGCAACAGAACGGGATTTATTGTGAGTTTGGGTTTTTTTACGCTGTGTTGTAATTTTTCTGCCGGCTCTGATCCTTGAATGAGTTCATCCAGGATCATCAGATAAGTAAAACTGGCAGAGGCCAGGAAGTAACAGGCCAGGGCAAAATGTGTTTGCAACGACTTAGATAGAGAAGCACACCCTGTGTGAGGCAAGGAAAGCAACTAACAATAGAGGACAGGTGTACTTTTCCTCAGTTATAAAGAAGCAACTCTCAGCCCACAATCTCTTTTCATTACCTATTGCTATGGGGATTTGAACAACTTGGTCTAGTGTTGATATGTCCCTGCCCATGGCAGGGGTACTGGATGTAGATGATCTTTTAGGTCCTTTCCAGCCTAAACCATTCTATGATTCTCTAATTGTTTCTGCATGTAGAACTCAGTATGGAGTAGAGAGGTCTGTGGAATTTCTTCTTTGTGATGCTTTCCTTTCTGCTAAAATGTGTTTTCTGGGGAAATAGTTTTGCAAACCTTCCAGTAAACTAAAGGGTTTAGAAATTTAGGATTTATGTTTCTCTATAGATATTTTTATAGCCTTGTCTTGTCTTGTCTCTTCTTTCAGTAAAGTCATTGAAAATACAGGGGAAATCACCTTTTGAATGTTACATGGAAAAATCGATTCTCAGTATACTAGGAGAAGTTTCTGGTTTTCTGCTAGTGTATTTATGGAGTTCAGACAACAGGGAAGTGTTGTGCATAGTTTTCCCAGCTGTAGCACAGTATTCCATCAGAAGTCTCTGTTAAATGCTGGGAGTCTGTCCTGTATGTGCCACAGAGTTTCAAAACTGAAACGTATGCTCCAGTCTTCCCCACAATAATTCCATATCTCTCTCACATGATGTGGTAACGTGTGCAGAATGCACTATATGTCTTTTCCCTGCACTACTTGGTATGCAAAGGCAGCACTGAAATCAATGCAAGACTTCAAGTGAGACCACATTAAGAGCGAGCATATATTGAAAATGCTGCCTGATGAGAAGCTTGTTTCTGAAGAACATTTCAAAGCCAAACAGGAAATGTACAGAAAATTCTTGCAGAAAAGTTTTTCTTTCAATGAAAACAAAAATTTAATTTTGACAGTCTAATGTATGCAAGAAATATTTTCTCCTCATACTTCTGTACTAAGCAGAGATTACTTACTAATAGAGCATAAAAGTAGAGAGGTAAAAGTATCTACATCACATTTCTTTGTGAGCCCTATAGATAAACTGGCAGAATATTAATCCAAATCAAATTGCTCATGTAGAGTTCCTAGAGGGGATCCTATGTTAAACAGTAGCCTAATTCTGTACTTGCCTCATAAATCACCTTGCAAATACTGCTCTGAGCTATGGAGTTCGTCTCATACAGTGTAAATTTTCCTGAACTTCTTTAGCAACCAAGACCACTGTGTGAGAGGGACTGTACTCTCAGTTATACCGCAAAAAAAGGCTGGGGGTGCACACGCATACTACCCTGGAGGAGTACTGGGCTGAAGGATTGCTCTGGGCTCAGTGTCAGTCTTGCCTGAGATGAAGGCAAAAAATTTCAGGAGTTTCTGTTTCTTATGGTGTATGTGAGAGGAATGCCTCCCGTATGGTCTTTGGTGATCTCGGGTTTGAAGTGCTGTCCTGCTTCAGAGAACAAAGGGTTTAAGTAGATGTTGAAGGAAATTCACCTTGAGGGGGAAAAAAAAAAAATCTTAGCTTTTTTCTTCAACCACCCCTCTGCCTTAGTAGATGTGCTTAAGAGTAACAGCAAGAAGAAACACATCCCGTACACCATTGGAATCTATACACTATCTCACTGGATGAGTCTTGTCTTTGTTTCTGTTTTTGTTTTCTGGAAGCCACAGTAACGTAGTTTGGTTGCGTTTACTACTTTCAGGAGGCAGAAGGAGAAATCCCTGTAGGAATACAAGAAACAAGATGCCATTTTATCTCTTCATCAAGATCTTTGATTCATTTGCAGATGAAAGTACAGTTCTTGTGGCCCCTTGGACTAGACATAAGGCTCGTAACAAAAATAATAATACGGACTAGTAGTACAGGATGAACCCTTGTTGTTCCCTCAAGTTCTACCTTTAATTATAGTGGTGTTCCCAGGGCAACCACTGAATGAAGCCAGTAGTGAAGTTCAGTGTTTTGTTATGGAAAACTCACTTTCCTGTAGCAACTGTGATTTTTGTCTGCAGCTTTTTTTCAGCTCTGCTTAAAAACCGAAAGGATGCTTTGCAATCCTTTTTCAGCAAATTCTCTATTTGCGATGAAGTCATGTGTGCATTTGAGACTGCACATGTATGTGTGTGTGTGTGTATGTGCACTCATCTGTGATAGTCATTTGACCAGGCAACTTGGCTTTCAGGCAAGGCACTGTGAGAGGGGAAGCAAAACAGAGATTTAGCTTGGCAAACCCTTCTTTTTTTTCAGTTTGGGATTTTCTTTTAAAAAAAAACCAAAAAACAAAAAACAAAACAACCAACCAAACAAAAAATACCACCAACATTGCCAGCCCACCAACTCCTTATACTAAGAAAAACCTAGAGCAGTGTTTTGTGACGTGTCTGTTACTGGCTCTCACCATGCCTTATGTCAAACACAGCTATCCATGACTGCAATTTCCCTGGAGCTTAAACATGTCAGGCAGAGCTTGGACTCTTTTGAGTTACACAAAAATAGCATTTTAAGTTACAAATGAGAACAAATAAATCAAGGGGCCTCACGTGCAGCCCCCCAAACCTATAATTCAGACTTCTCACTTCAGTCAGTATCATGTCTCATGCACCCTCTGTTTGACCACTGTCATCCCCTCCAGATTCTGAGGATAAAAATAATCTTGTTTTATCAGATTAAAGGAAATTACCCCTTGTCCTCCTGTCTTTTTCTTGACACTTACTATTTAGGTTAACCTGTCTCCACCTGCATTAGTTCTCCCCTGAAGATGTATTTCTACCTGGCCCATACCAAGCTACCCTCACAGGAGTCTGTGCTTCCCCTTTCAAGATGCACATACTGCTGTGTGAAGTACTTCTTCAGCTTCTTGTGCCTATTTTGTCATTCTTTCAGCAGTACAAGGTGAAAAAATGTATCCATTTGTCTAGTGATTAGTGAGGTTTTGCTTTTCCTTTTAGCCTATAATTACAGCAAAAATATGAATGTTCTGCAATGCCTATTTTAGAATAATTCTCTCATCTCCCTTACTTGTAAAATTGACTTAGATTTTATTGAAGAAGTGAAATCTTGAATTTAATGAGTGCAATTAGTCACATTTTCTTTTCTTGGTAAGCCTTTGAAATGGGCCAGGCTTTCCGAGATTAACTTTTGACAAATGTTCTTTCTATCCCAGATTTGGATTTGCAGCTTACTCCTAGTGGAGAAGTCACAAAACAGATTGGAGAGGCCCTGCCTGTGTCATGCACAATTTCTTCTAGTAGAAATGCAACTGTGTTTTGGATAAAGGTCAGTAATTCATCTACTTCATGCTTCATCTGAGTATTCACCTCTTCATATTATTGCTGCCACTTCAGTGTTTTGAAAGGAAGGAAGGAAGTTGTTCATTGGGCTTTTTAAAGAATATTGTTAAAATGGGTCTTATGCATATGGCTAAAATGAGAGCTACTCACTCAGAGTGATGACTGAAAATCAGTTATTGTAATTATCAGTTCAGTTTTCAAATGTAAAGAAGTAATGCATACTGTAACACAAACATAACTTTTTTGAAATAGACTTCAGAAGACCCTTTGAGAATCAGGGATTGGTGCATTGTTTTCTCGGGAGTCAAGCTTGATCTTGTTTCCAATAAACATAATAAAAGGACAAAGCAGGCTGAGAGATCAGATGTTAGCACTGGGTGTTGAGTGGCTGGTACCAAATCTGCAGTGCTGGAAACTTAAAATAATGATGTCTGATGGTTGTTTACGAGCATATGTTGATCTCAGAAGCCTGGCCCGGAGCGGAGTTGCTTGCATTTCAAACAGTTTGTACCTGTAGTGGTTTTGGCTAATCTACTAGGAAAGCTCAGAGCTAATAACTCTGCCCTTCTTTTGAAAGCAAAGTTGTTCAAGAAGAAGGGAGGTGACTTGCATAAATCTCCAGTAGTTTCCACTTTTCATGCTGTATATTGAAATATAATTATTAATGGGGAAACACCTTAAGAGTAAGGCTCCAATTTGCCAAAGCATGCAAAAACTTCTGTTGAAAGTAGTAATATTTTTAATTTAGGGATTAATGTATCGTGAGTTAATCTCTGTCACTTCTAACTCCTTACTTATCAGGACAATACCAGAATGCAAACAAGTCCATCATTTTCAAGTCTTCAGTATCAAGATGCTGGAAACTACGTCTGCGAAACTACTCTACAGGAGGTCGAAGGATTAAGGAAAAGACAGACACTTAAACTTATTGTGGAAGGTAAGTGAGCAGATAGTTATGATGATTAATTGTTCTTTTTAAACAAAAGGATTAACTGTAATATTGTTCTTGTAGGAAAACCTCAAATCAAAATGACGAAGAAAACCAACACAAATAAAATGTCTAAAACAATTATCTGCCATGTGGAAGGTTTCCCCAAACCAGCAGTGCAGTGGACAGTTACTGGTACTGGAAGCATCATAAATAAAGCAAGTATCTTTCTTATTACTTTATTCACCAAAAGATAGTGTGCAAATTAAAATCAAGGAACATTTTTCAGGTAGCGAGATTGAAGAAAATAAGTCTTTTTCATTTATCTAAAAGAAGGTTAAGTGGTAGCTGTAGCTACATGGTCCTTACAAGGATGATTTTTTTATGATAAAGGTTTTTTGAATAGAGCAGGTGAAGAGGCAAAGGAGATTCACTGGCTACAAGCCAAAACTGGAAGGAAAAGGTTACAAATGAAATATGCATTTTTTTTAAGTGAAGGTACTTAGTCTAATGTGCTGATTTTGCCATTGCATAAAGACTTTGCAAATATTGGTGGAACTATAGAACTTATATTAGAAAGCAAATGGGTACTTGCTGTAGGCATTAACTGGGTGAAATGCAATGAAATGTGGCATGTATGAGTCAGAAATTACATTCAATATCGTTCCTTATGGGGTTTGCAGCTTTTATCCTAATTTTTATAGTTGCTTTTGTATGGTTATGCCTGTTGTTTCTCACTGGAAACAGAAGGGTAATGCATTCATCCTGAGGGATAAATAAGAAGTACCCATATATAGCAGGGAAAATACCTGGAAAACAACCAAACTGAAGTATTTTGGTATTGATTACCGCATCCCATGCAAAGCACTGCTACGTTTTGCCTTAGCAGGAAGAATAAATGAGACCTCTCTACAAACATTCAGTGACTGGAAGTACAATGCACAGTGCTCCTGTAGATTTCATTTTCAAATGAAATCTTATATATTTTCAAATAGGTTTTGCTTTAAGCCTACAGAAATTACGTATAGCTGTCAAAATGTGTCCATTTACTTGAAGCTATAGGGCAGGATTTGTCGTGAAGCTATACAAATGATTGAAAATAATTTTCTCTGGATGTTGCATTAATCCAAGAATGATGTACAGCAAATTTAAGGAACAACACATCACTATTACAGTACAGATACTACAGGTGCTACTAAATACACGTAGCTTGGCAAAATAATGCTAAGTGTGGAAACAACTTGGAAAGCTGAAAAGTGGAAAACTTAGAACAATTCTTTTCCTTATAAAGATATAAATGAAAAATAGCAAGATGGAAAGAAGGGATAGCTTAGAAGTTTGGGTTTTTCTTGAAGAATTTTTTATCACTTGGAATATTTTTTGAATAGTTGAAAGAAAACCAAATACAGAATGTGGTTACCTTTCTTTAAAAAAACCTCTTTATCATTGATCTTCCAGTGCACACTATACTAGATCTATATATCTATAACTAGATATGTTGCCAAATTGTTTTCTTTCAAATATTCACATTACCATTTAATAAAATAATGCATATTTCAATTGCTATTGTTTGGAAAAGTGAAGTATTTGTTGAAAGACATTTCCCTCTGAATATTTTCAATGTGTACTACAGGTAGTGCATGCATTCTTTTTGCTTTTTTAAAGGATACTAATCCTCATTTTTTACTTTTTCAGACAGAGGAAACAAAATATGTTAATGGGAAATTTGCCAGTAAAATTATAATTGCTCCTGAGGAAAATGTGACTTTAACTTGCATTGCAGAAAATGAGCTAGAAAGGACTGTGACCTCCATGAATGTCTCTGCTAGTGAGTGTCCTATAAAGATCATTTCCTTAAAGTTATAGTTTCTCATAAAGTACCCACACATCTCACTCAAATGAAGAGTAGGTCTGCTTAGTAATGTTGATACTAAGATATTTAACCTTTTTGTCTTAAGTCAAGCAATTGTAAATCCACTCTGGATCAGTAGTACATAAAATTTATTGATAGCTTTCTAGATGAAGTGACTTAGCCTTCATGACTTTCTTGGCTAGCTATCTATTTACAACAGTAAACAATATAACAAAATAATATTAGAACATAATAGTACAAAATATTGCAAAATAATACTTTATTAACAAGAGAGAAGTCTTTATTTATTACTAAATTAACATAATGTTTTAGTCTCCAAATTCCAGTTTATTACTACTGGTATGACTTGACTCACAACAGAAATCAGCCATACTGGACTTTAATCAGATGCCACTTTTCAATGATGAAAGGTAGTGAAAAGCTACAGTTTGTGGAAGGGTAGCACACTTTAATATTACAGATTTTGAGTAAGATTCTTCAACTGGATATATTACAAAGGAAACAAACACTTTTGTTTAAAGATGAGATTAATTACCTTGTTTGGCAAACACTGCATTAAGTTTCAGTTTCTGTCATTGCAGTAAATAGGCAATTAAAGGTGATGTTCAGGTCTAATACATTGTCTTTAATTTAATTTTAACATTTTTCATTTCAGTAAGTATTCCAGAATATGATGAGCCAGAGGATAGAACTGGTATGTATGGTTTTCTGTCTCTATAACCCTTTCTTTTGATTGTCTTAGTTCAAGACCTACATAGTGTCAGTGCACAATTTCTGCAGTCCCTCAAAGGTGGACATAATTTGAAATAGCTTGTGCCATGATTGACTAAGACGTGATTTTCTTGAAGCTTAAAAGATGAAAGTACATTTAAAGAACAATGCCTACTTTTTTTTTTATTTATTTTGACTTGCTGACCCCTTTTCCTGTTTCTGATGAAAATTCTTTAGAACTGGTGTAATGTTTTACTTTGTCCTAAGTCGTCTCTAACTTTTCTTCTTTGCTTCAGATGACAATAGTGAAAAGGTTAATGACCAGGCAAAGCTAATAGTGGGAATTGTGGTCGGTCTTCTGCTGGTTGCCCTGGTTGCAGGTGTTGTCTACTGGCTCTATGTGAAGAAATCAAAGTAAGAATTTATGGAAAACTTTATAATAAATTCGAAAAAGAATAACCATAGGCAGAAGTGTACGTTCACCTGTTTTCCTTCCTGCAGCATTCCAGTAGTCATGGGTGGGGAAAAGCTGTTACAGTACGTGCACTTAACAGAAAAAGGAAACTTGATACCTCTGGTTGGCTTGTCCTAATGGGTAACAGGACTCATCTCCTGGAGGTGGGGGTCTAAGATTTTCAAAGATTGTAGCTGTAATGAGGTTGTCTTTCCTGACAGCCAAGTCTGTGCTGGCTCTTGCATTTAAACATAGCACCTACTACTTAATTATGGAACTTGATGTGTGGGAGTCTGTGTGGCTTTGCTGGTGCTAGAAACTGTCTTCATCATTTGCTTTAAATATTGAATAACGTACAGAATAAGACTAAACCGTCTCAGGGAGAAGAGTTGTTTTGTTCATAGGTACTTTGAGATCTCTGAAGTAAAACTGGTAAAGGTAGAGCTGGTGTTGCTGAAAAGTCTGGAAGCTATCATCCATATCAATATGCTTTAGCCATCCTAGGCATAGAACGGGATTTGCCAGTGAGGCCTGCTTGCTTTCAAGTTTCTTCGTTATCACAGGCTCACTTCAGAAAATAAATTGGATGATCTCAGGAAGTGACTACATTTCTGCATCCTTTTGAAGCTGGTCATGACTGCATGCCATTTGGCCTTATCCCTGCACAGTTGTCTCCAGGGAAAACTGAGGGCAGGCTTGCTTTCTGAAGGGCTCCTTACAGCTGCTTCTTATCAGGGGAGATTAGGGTAGTTATGCATAACATGCACAAATCAGTACAGGTGTAAAAGTAGTCTTAAAGTTCAATTGTTCTTTCTGTGGCCTTTCATTAAAATTAGATCAAATTAGATCTAAAATATACCAGTTGGATTTTACTATGAACAAATGTGTTTTCATTTATGTTATCCTTTTTTTAGATAATACATAAGGACTTTACTTCAGCCATAACTGATCAGATTTTGGAAGTTTTTCAAATACAGAATTGTTACAAATCACCCAAGCACAGAACCACACTCAGATATAATACATGGAGGGGGTTTTTGTAAAGCTTATGCTTCTTTTGGTAAAAATTAAAAAGGATAACATACAGTGCTCTTCCACTCACATTTTGCTACTATTGTGATAATGTCTAGAATAATTTTCTTTTTTTTGTTCCTTTTTGAATATGCGAATGTGGAATCATAAAACTGGTTCACTGGTTTGGGTTTTTGGGGTATAAGGAGGGCAGAGAAGGTAAAATAAGTAACTTTTCTTGTACCATTATGTAGTATGGGGAGAGCTAACAGGAATTGTAGAATACAGCATGAGTTTATTAACTAATTTATTAACTTTTTCTGCTTCAGAGATAACATACAGCATATTCTAAATGGACAACACTTACTTTCCTCAAGCTTAGAGGAAAAATTAAAACTAGAATTGATTAGAGAGGTTCACTGGAAAAAAAACCCAAACCTTTATAGGTTATATAATAGTCTCCATATTTGATATATGGTTACTGGCTTCTAAACCCCTTAATTGATGCATCATCATTGACAGTCTCCTTTTTTCAGGATATTTAAGTTGATCTAATGTTATACTCCCTGCTTTCTGTACACCATACTTGCAAGAGGAAGCAGAGTGCCAGTACCTATTCTGTCAAAGTTTTCATTATGACTTAGAGCCTAGAAGTCAAAGTAGAGCACATAAAAAGCACCTTACGCCTCTAGACACAACCTGTGTCTAATCACAACCCCTCCATCTCCATACAGGCCAGCAGTTCATAGTTATTTTTTAAACCCACCCTTGAACAGTAACTCAACTAATCTCTATCCCCAAAGTGACGCCAAAGGAAAGTCTGAGAAGGCAGCAGCACAGAACTTTGCAAGTCTGCCGAGGCAAGAAAAACATTACTTTTTTGTTATTGGTGTTGTGGTTTGTACAATATTCTATTGTCTTGTCATCCACGCTAAGTAGGAATTATACTTGTAGCCTTGGAATATGTTCACAATAAATCACTTGTACAGTTATTCACTGCATCAGCTCCACTTGATGGAAAAACTGATTATTGCCACATATTCTTTTCAGTATGAATATTATCCCATAAATAAGGGACTCATCTGTATTCCACATTCTGCAACCCCCTCTTAAATAAAGAGTTGAGGCTACCTACCCCAGCATGCCTTGTTTCTCCTTCATCTGAGCAGAAGGCCAAACACTTGTTCTCTGCAGATTTCTCCTTTTTCCAAAAAGGATGTCTTAAACTAATCTGCACTGAACAGAATATATCTTAGCACTTCAGCATATTTCTAAAATTTTTGTGTCAGACCTCAGTTGACTGATTCTAGGAGACCCATCTTCAGTAGATCCTTCATCTATGAAATTTTCACCTTGCCCGAAACAGCTGAGGGTACAGCGGAAATTAAAGATCTGGAATGGAAATAGTGCACTCAGCACCCTGTACCCTTGCTCTCTAGTCATGGCAGTTCTGCATGTAGATCAGACCTTTGCCCCATTTTTGTGCCTGAGGTTTGGAGATGCACAAATCTCCAGTCACATGAGACTGGATTGAGGTTAAAGTGGTTTAAAATCTGGTGAAGGAAAGTTCAGCTGGGCAAGTTGACGCACAGCAGCAGTCTTAAGATTGTTCATACTCGGAGCACACCAAACTCTTCAAATACTTCCTAGATCCCAGTAGTCAAAACTTTTTCTCTGAAACGGAACACTTGAAGCATAGCAATAAAAATATTAGCCTTTCTGATATTTTATAAGAAACAAGCATATGAATCCAAATATGTAGGAAACTTGCTGTATGTTATGAAAAAGACTCATTTGTATTGGGTTTTGTGCAGTTCCCTTCCAGGAAAAAGACATAGTTACATGACACAAATCCTCTGTAAAAGGCCACCACATAAATTAAAAAATTGTCACCAATTTCTTGGTGACTGGAATATTTTTCTAATATCTCTGTCTTTTTCCTTGCTGATGGACATTTGAAAATAATTGGAAGAAGTGCAAGGCAAGATTGGGGTAAATAGGAGGAGATTGCCGATAGTCCCAATTTGAATGTACAAGATCATCAGCTCCTAGAAAATTTTTTGCATCAGTGCAGTTGAGTGTCTGATGTGCCTTTCAAAAGGGATGCAAGCTTTAATGAAATTCTTGGCTCTTGCTTCAGCATGCAGAACTACACTGATGTCTGTCCTCTTACCTGTCATTGTCTCAAGCTTGGGTAACAAGGAAAAACAGCACTGCCTCCTGTCTTCCTTAAACATTGTTGAGGGCAAGGCCTGGACTTGCAAGATGAAAAGAAATCAGAAATTAAAACCCTACAACAATTTTCGGGACGCCTATATGCAGTCTGTATTTACAGTACAACAGGCAAAACAATTGACATGGAAAATGTATCTGAACAAAATCTATTAAAATAGCAGCCTCTCAAAATGCACACATTCCAAAGAAAGCTAAAAATCTCACTTCAGTATTACTTGCAAAGAGATTTTGATTAGGAATCCCTGAGGATAATTATTTTCCTGAAGAGCAAGCATAGATATGTGTAAAGTATGAGTCATAATTTTAGCTCAGAATGATTCATGTTTTACAAATTAATTTAAAAAAAAAAGAATAACTAAAGCCAACTTCTCACTCCTCAGAACAACAGGGCCAGAGCACGGGAAGGTGTGGGCTTTATTTGTGGAGCTGCAGATAATGTTACAGTGTGAGAGAGTGCTCCAGGCCTGGGCAGAGTGGGCTGTCTACCCTTTCTGGCAAATCCTCAGGAATATTTCTGTCCATTCAGACTACATTTCCCAGCTGCTTAGATATCATCAAGAAGTTGCTCTTGAGTTGCAGATGGAGTGAGCTGACAGGAGTTAATGCATGAAGAGTAAGGAACAACTGTTGTTGAATGCTAAGCTGGCAAAGGACCATTTGTCCTGCGCCTCAAATCACCTCAGGAAGCGATGGAAACCACGTTTTGAGACATTTCTGTTACAAACCCAAGCCACGTCTGTCAAGCCCTGAGGATTGGTGCCATGCCAGAGTCGGCTGTTCCTCTGCTGTTGGCAGAGCACTGCCAGTGGATCACACTGCTGCAACTTAGCACAAAATTACTCTTGTGTCTTTTAATGACACTATTTAAATAGCACTAAAAAAGGCAGCAGTATTGTTTGTGCTAAGGTGGTTAATCTGCCTAGATATTGCTATCTGGGGAACAACAAAAAAAAAAGGGTCAGCAAGATCACTGAACCATCATAAATAAACAGCTGCATTTCAGTCTCGGGCATTGAGAATCGAAATCCATCTGATTGTCAGACATGAAAAACTGCTGCTACTCTCATTTCAAGCAAGTGGTTTATAACATCTTCAAAAAGAGTTCTGGATCTCCCGCCTCTTTCAAAGTCACAGTGTTGCCCTTTAGGTCTCCCATTTTCACTCGTTGTGGCTTTAGGAAAATAGAGGTGACATTTAGTTTCATTGAATGCAGAACTAAAATAGAGCACTTTAAAACTCAAAACCTGATCTCATTGCAGCATCTCCTAGCTTTAATCACCGAATAATTTTAACCTAATCAAAGACCACTAATGCTGGATACAGTTCCGTCTGCTGTTAAGTGTCAGGTCATATGAGATTCAGTCTGCTTTGGGCACTGTAAAACTCTTGATAAGAGGCCAAATAAAAAGGATCACACTGAGCCATGCCAATAGTCTATCCAGTCTCCCAGAGCAGACATAAGTGGTTACATGAGGACAGACGTGCAGGATCCTGCTTTCTTGCTTCCAGCTCATTTCAGCTCAGGTAATTGCCTGAGTCCAGATTCTTTCAGTTTTTCATCTCTTTCCCTGTTGTCTCCAATTTTGTGTGACTTATATATGGAAAAGACTCATTAGCTGCATGACAAGCCAAATTATGTGCTCAGCCTAAACCAAACATTTTTTTAAATTTAAATTAAAAACTTTTTTAATTTACAAGGGATTTTTTTTGAGGGGTTGTTTCTTTTTTGTGAGGATTAAAGAGATTTGTGAAAAGTTATTAAGGTCAGTTATCACAGAAGGTCAGTCTCTACTGAAGCACTGAATTTTATTCTTCATTGCATTTCACATCCTTTCCTTTTAATGCATATCACGTGTTTCAGGTTTTGAATACCAGAAAAAAGTAGAATGTTATTGCACAATAGAAATTTACCACTGTAGAATAGGTTACTAATACTATCTCAGCACGAAATTAAATTTGCCTGCACTAAAGAGGAGTCCAGATCTTTGCAGTAAGTAGGTTTTCAACAGCAACACCTTTCTATCAATTACACAAATATAATAGAGGCACTCTAAAACCAATCGTAAAAGGCAAATGCAGTTTTGAAGCATTAAAACTTAGAGCCATTCAGGAGATAACCTCCTCTAAAACAAAAAACATTTTAGAATGGTGCCATTCACTGTAGTCCCTGGGCTCTGGGATCCAGAATCCCGTGCTCTCCTGGTACTCCACCTCAAGAGCTGCTCCCCAGCCCAGAAAGCAGCATTTCAGCACCACTCCCAGAGGTGTTGGGGGTTAGGTGCATTTGCACCCCATCGGAAGCCTTTCAGAGACAAAGACTAAACTGTCAGTACCACTCAAGGGTACTTCAGCTCAGGGCACACACAGTTCGTAGCCACTGCTCACGGCCTCTGCTCAGATGGAGGATGTGCACAGAAACACTCCACCAGCAAAAGTTCAGATCAGCGGTTTGGGGAGGTACATACCTGCATGGTGTCAGCGTGACATGTCACAGTATCCTGCTAACCTGTGTCTTCATTGTATTTTGCAAGTCAGCGTCACTGCGGGTCTTTACCCTGAAGCAAGGGCGAGCATATGCATGAATCTGTCACAACAGACCTCACTTTTCTGTAGGGGAAACAAATTATCTGTAGAGAAAATGCGTATATACGATAATCTGCTTTGACACAAGGGATTTACTTTGTCCCACTCAAATACATTTGCCCATTTACATTTTAAAAATTGCGGCCTTCAAAATGTTATCGCAGCACTGCAGGAGTCTTTCACCTTGGCAGACAGTGAGGCTTCTCACAGATTAAATGAATGGCATAGTGGTTTTATTGTGCTAAGCTAAACTAAGCACTTAACTCATTAATTCATCTCCACTACTTGCATTAAGGAAGACCTGCTATTTTAAATGAGGCATACCTCTTCCCCCCCCCCCCCCAAACATTTACACAATTTCATCTTTGCCCAAAGCTTGTCAGTCACAGCTAACACAGATCTAGAAACCAGAGTGTGATTTTTTTCAGTGTTGTCAGAATTTTCATTAATTTCTTCACATTTAAAGAGCTTCCGTTTGGTTTGGCACGGGCTCTGTAAGTCATTTACTACAAGTACACAAAAGATTGCTGTGTTGATCAAGATATCTTAGCCACGCTTGTAACATTTTAGTATGCCTTAAAGCAAACTCTTGTTTTTTGAAACAAGCTACACAATTACTTTGTCAGGAAACATGGATCTCCACAACTGGTTTAACCTTGCTAAATGTCTGCTAGCTCAGGATAATTCTGAATTCCTCAAGAGGTAAATCAAACACACAGAGCCCTACTGCAATACTTCCTGTGGTACCAACACCAGTGGGGGATCTGGTGCCGTTGGCCCATTTACAGACATATGCAAACCTGCTGAGAACAGAGCGTGTCAAAGTTTTCCGTTCGAGGGGAGGAGGCAGTGTCATTAATGTGAGGATGGAACAAAACGCTGTAGACGTGCAAAAATGACCTTCTTTTTTACATTATAGGACAGCATCAAAACATGTAGACAAAGATCTTGGAAATATAGAAGAAAACAAAAAACTAGAGGAAAACAATCATAAATCTGAAACTTAAGAGAAAATGTGTCAGTCATCATTCCAGGTAAGTGTTTAGTATTGCAGAATTTAACATCCCTTTGTCCACCATTTGTGGAATCTGTTGCTCACCTTCCAGAGATGAGGCAGAGGGGTCACTTTGAGTGGTGTAGTATCAGGACAGACAGACTCAAGCTTCTGGCCAGTTAAGAATTTGAAGCTGCACACAGAGATATTAAAACAAGCCTGACATTTAGATAATCCACATACTTGAGGAAATGAAAATACAAATTTATATAATGTGTCACTGTGGTAAAGGTGTGTGTGTATATATGAAGAATACGTTTAGGTAGAATTATAAGGTTTCAAGTTGTGACTTGAAATGTTTACAGGAACCTTCTTCGCTTACTGAAAAGCAACAGTTTCCAAGTTCTCCAAGTCAGCTTTGTTCATCATTAGTGCAAATGGCATGAAACTTCCTTTAGAACAAAACAATTCTTTTCGCTCTAGATTTTCCATACTTTTACTAGGATCAATTTTATCCTGTAAAGAGACACTGTATATTACGTTTAGCATGAAAGTTTCCCCTGCTGGGTTCTGTGCACCAGCGATTCGGTAGATGCTGGACTTCTGTTTGGAATTACAGGAGCACGACAGAGCACCAACAGCACCACCCTGTGCTCACACACTGCTGCATGTATACATGCCACTCCTCTTAGAACCCAAAGTAGGGGTTTAGACCATTCTTATGGCCAGTTTAGGACATTTAAAATCTGGGGTAGCCCAAGAGTCTGGAAACCAGCTGACCATACAGAGGTTTGTTCAGTTAGTCATCAGCTGTTCTTAAAAATGAGAGTAGTACCCGTTCAGTAGTGCTGCATTGTAACTTCCTCCACAGGAAAGCTGTAGGCAGCCCTGATTTTCAGGGATCTTAAGTAAATAGCATTGGATACCTTCTTGAGGTAGTAGGGTTTTAAAGCATGTAGTGGAACTATGGTATTTCATATTTACATTAAAAGGTTTCTTATTTAAATAAATACAGCTGCCATTAATAATACCGGTATTGTCTGGTATTGTACTTTAAAGTACAAGCCACAAGTTTTGCGTTAAAAATTCAAAATTCACTGAATTAGATAAAGCACTTATACATTATACAAAGAGATGCAGCATTGCTATAGGCAATTTACTAGTAATATCATTGTTTTATAATTTGAAAAAGGGAATTGGGAATATCAAAATTATATCCTATAAATGATTTAAAAGTAGAAAAGAAGTAGATTTGGATTTTGAAAAAGTTGCAGCATAATTACCCAGCATTCCTACTACAATTCTATGGGGAAATTCTGTAATCTTTTTGCTTAGGCCTTCGTCTGTATTTTTTGCCTGTTCCTGGTACCTTCTGCAACATTGTGATATTGAGGTGATTAGATGAAGTTAGCTGGGGGTATTTATTTAACATAGGAGTTCAGATAACATTGTGTGCCTTCAGTGCAATTGTTTACTCTGTATTTCTTCAGATCAGTAGATCTACATAAATGAAATGGACATAAATCCATTACTGACCAGATAAACACTGGATTTACTGGGAACAGTATTACAACAGGCTACTCTTGTCATGAAAGAAAGTGTTCATGTCATTGAACAGCAGAAGAAAGTACTGTTCATGTAGCTGTTTATTTGAAGGTTAGATACTGAGTAGTTATGATGGTTAATATACTTTAAAGTCTTTAACTGGCTTTATCTTTCATATTTTCAGAGAATACATATAGACCAATTGAAGCATGAACGTGGATTGTATTTAAACATATACAAAGAAGTGACAGCTATTCATGGTTCAAGTATTAAGCAGATCATACTACCAAGTTTTCAAAGGATTTTAGACATAATTATCTCAAGATAAAAAAACCCCACAAACTAATTTTGGCAACAGCCATGATAATAGGTCACCATGTTGTGTTCTGTTCGAAATATTTTTTTGTAAATGTCTGCACTGAAGATTTCTTTTTGTTTGCCTTTATGTAAATTTTTTACGTAGCTATTTTTATACACTGTAAGGCTTTGTTCTGGGAGTTGCTGTTAATCTGATGTATAGTGTAATGGTTTTTATTTCAATTGTTTTTATGACACCCTTTGAGCAGGTACATGTCTAGTTCTGGTTGTTTTCAGTGAAGCCTCTGGTTTGTAGCAAGTACCTACAGTGTAAGATTGTCTTAAAGGAAAATGTCAAACTCCTTTTTCATTCTTTGAAGTCATGATAAAGCAGATGGGTGACAGCTGTGACAAGAATAAACTAAGATGTTAATGAAAGTGAATGTTTAAAAAACCATGCAAAGCTAAACAAGCCAGAAGGGGAATAAAGAGGTTCCCTGAAGAAGTCTGGGTATTAAGCAAGGAACACTATGAAAAATTCCTAGCCTACATACAGACGGTGGCTAATAATCCTTTCCTTCTAGAGCAAGACACGCATTTTATTGATCATTATGAGTCGTCTTTCATGTTAGCATTAGGATAAGGAACTGGAATTCTGGGTTAATTTTGATTCCTTTATGTTATTCGCTGCCTTAAAGTACTGTAAATTGTCATTTCAAAGAGATACCAGTCAGAATTGGAACCTTTTTTTAAAAAGTGGTCATATCAAAGCTGCATTTTTTCCCACAAAAATAGAATATATATATTTTTTGTGTGTTTTTGTTAACTATGCTACAGATATTGAATGCACCTTGAGATAATTTTAGTGTTTTTAACTGGTACCTAATTTATCAAACAGTACATATAATTGTAACAATGAAATGTCTATGTATCTTTAGTTACATTCAAGTTTGTAACTTTATAAACATGTTTTTTGCTTGAGGGAATTTTTAGAATGGTACTTGATAAGAGAAGGTTTTAGGGTGAATGGCCAAAAGGAAGTCATACTTAAGGGAGATGTTTCAATTTATCTGGAAGGTTAGTTTCTGGAAGACAGTAACAGGCATCTTTGATGGAGGGAAAGAGTAGATTAAGCAGAACATCAGGTTTCCATTTACAAATATCCAGGGAAAAAGTAAGTTTTTATAGACTGGTAGGCAAAAATAAATAAATAAATAAATAAATAGATAAATAAATAAATAAATAAATAAATGAAAAAGATGGACGTTAGGAAATGTATTTTGCCACTTTTGCATTATTTAGGGGGAAGAAAACACTGTTACTTGTAAATTTGTAAAATGTTAAATGTCTGGGCAGTAGTGACTGATGTCTTAATAAAAGCTTCCTGTAGTGCATTGGCATGGATTAAATACATAAGATGTCCTATAAACTCTATGCTGTATAAAATATTAGAGGGAAATCCTGTTATATGCCTCTAAACTTTAATTTGTTACTGTTTTATTTGGCAAAAAGAAAAAAAAAATTATAATCTTGGTCAATATTTAAACCAAAGTAAAATGGGGGAAAAACCAAAGTAATTTGTTTTGCATGGCTAAGCCATTCTGTTATCTCTGTAAATATTGTGATTTTTTTCTTTTTAGAATTTTGTTAAAAAAATTCTAAAATTTTTAAACACCTCTTTTTCCAAAATAAAACGTGAACACACAAAAAAGTTACTTTATATATAAATATATCTTTTTCTTTTGGTGCGAGAACACTGCCAAGTGATACACGTTTTTTAAAAGAAAAAAACAAATTCAGTGGGCATGACTCTAAATGGGAAAAGTTGTAACAGAGTCCTGTGAAGGAGTGTGCAAATATCACCTGTCTTTGTTTATAACACTACAAATAGTTCTTAAATACAGAGAGGAAACTTCCAAAGATAGGGAAACTTCCAAAGGGAAAGCATAGGGAAGGGCTGAAAATTTTCATACCACTGTCAGGGGAATACAGGGCAAAGGAGAAGAAAAAAAGTCCTTCAGCTTCCACAGCTATAGAAGAAGGAATAAAACCAACTTCTCGCCTTTTGGGATTCTGCTAGATCTCCTATGCACTTTAAATCGTCAGTCCTAGGAGCTGGGCTTTTCACTGCTCCGAGTTCACTATAGGCAAGTTTCAAGAACCAAGAGTGCAAAAGAATTAATGTTTCTATCCATGCCTAAACAACAATAAAACTGAAGTATGTCTTCACTTGCTTGTCTGAAATCTCAGTTTACCAGAACACGTACGAGCACGAGGGAGGGCGCTTACCCAGAGCTCACGCTGCTGCTCACTGTAATCCTGCAAATACACCTCAATAGTCGTCTGGGATGAAAATTCCAGCAAAGCCAAGGGGTCTTGGTGTGGGTTTGTGGACCTTCTCCTGGACCGCGGGGTCAGGACCTAGGGAGCATAAACACTCGCTCAGAGAAAAGCACGTGCCCAGCTGGCACACAAAACTTTCCCAGAGTTCATCATGGACGTCTGTGCTTGTGACCTGGATTTAAAAATTACCATATCAGTGAAACTTAGGGGGCCTGTTCAAATCTGAGTTTGTATACCACACCAGAGTTCAACCTTAGTTTACTTCACACAGGAAGAAAAACAAATCCCTGCTTACAAATGGTTTAAAAGCACGGCAAAGGGGAGTCGGGGAGAGCCCACCCTCTTGCTTTACAGTCAGGAAATAAGGTGATTTGTGGTGTCTGTAATGGCTATGCCAGAAACTGCCACTGAGCTTGGAACAAACCAACAGGTTTGGCTGCATGCTGCAAAGGCAGCATCCTGCAAAAACATCCCACAAGCTTCCTGAGCAACTCTGTGAGTCCTCAGAAGCAATAATACCAAAACTATAGCTGTGCTGCAGTGGATATGAACCACTATTAAAACACACAGAAACGTTGTAATGGTGCAGCCAGAAGGTGAGGCCTTTCGGAAAGGAGGGAAAAAAAAAAAGTACTTAGGGCCAACACAACAAAAGGCAAAGCATCAGGGACATTTTGTACTGGTTCTGAGTACTACAGAATAGCCTCTGTCTGAGGGTTTTGCTGCACCTACAACTACTGCACTGCTGGGACCAGCAGCTGGTCAGAGCCTAAACGGGGAAAGCGCTGACCTGACTGCTGCTGGCCAGTGAAGCAAACACTCCACACCTGATTGTTCCTGTATTATCCAGGGCTTGCCAGCGTCAACCCAGCACCACAGATGGTTTAGGCAATAGGTTACACTTTCCCTGGACAGCGAGTTTTCATCCTGTCATGTTTCGAAAAACATATACAAATAACTCTAAGTTCTATACTGATTATTATTTGAACATTTTGAGATACTAATGTGAGTTTTATCCACAAAGACATACAAAGAATGACTAAATGTAAATTTATTGTCTTTGTTTTTTATGATAAATTTTGTCAGGGAACATCCGATGTTCACCTAATAGCTTCAGCTGCTGGCTGTTGCAGTTAAATCTGATTTACTTGTAGTACCACATGTAGCTGGATACCTTCCTGTTGACTTCATATTTAGACAGCCATATGTCTGTAATTATCTCGGCTAAGATTAAGCAATGACATATGAAATGAGATCATGACCTCCTGTGTCAACCACATCTGTGCAAATGTTTTCTGGGTTTCCTTTTGACAAGAACGCATCTGCATTCAGGTGTCTGTTTCCAAGAATTGCCCAATACAGGGGTTTCAAACAGGTTTCTCCTCCAGGCAGAAGGAGATGGAGGGAACATAGGAGGTGTATAACTGAGTTATATGCTTCTAATCCCTGAAGGGCTCCCAAGCTCTTCTGGAAAAGGGTAGCATCCTCAAGCTGGCACAGTTCAGTGCTGAGCAAGGCTGACTTCAGCCTTCCCTCACGGTGGTCTGCCAGAGAGGGAGGGTGAGAAGGGAAGTAGACAGGCTGCAAACAAACCAACCAACCAACCCACCACACACCCCTCTTGGCTGTGTACGCTTCATATGTAATGCAGCACACACGTTCAGTAATGATTTGCTACATTTCAAATTATTAGGGAATCAGAAGCTTATTACTTATTATCAAATTATGCCAAAGTCAATTTCTAAAACAAGACTAACTCCATCCACCCAGCCACTCACAATTCTTTAAATATCTATAAATGTAATTCATACATTTTTCTCATTTACATTCTAAATAGGGGCATTTTTTTTTCTGTTAGCAGCAAGGCATTGACTTTGATGTAGTAATGAATTTCATCTTGAAAAGGTAGAGCCTGACAAATTATTGGGAAATTTTGTTCCTTAGTGAGAAAACAGTAATGTACCTCTCTCATCACTCACCTACTCCCTCCCAGATGTTTTACTTCTTCTTATGCTCTACCTGGTGATACAGCTAAGGCTTCTGTCATCCTCTGTTCCCTGTCTTAGTGCTCATTTCCACATCCCCTGTTCTGTATGGATTGATTCTCTGCTGCCCTTGCCATCAGTTGTTTATTTGTAGGACATCCAGCTCAGAAATGACAAAGCACCTTGAGATAAATACCAGCAATTTAACACAACTATAAACATGAAATGGACTGTGAAACAGGGAAAAAAAATGTAGAAACAGACTAAACTTCCCATGCTGGGGCTTCTACATGTTCATATCCATTGTTGTGGAGTCCCTGTGAAGTTTCCCTGTTTTGGGAAAATAGCACAAAAGTGTAACCCACACTGCAAAGGTTCAACTGTAATACCATAACCTACACTTGTAACACCAATGTGCCTTTTTTTTTTTTTTTTAATGGTACTGGAATGTCAGCACAAGTCTTACATTTAAGGATGTAGATTAAATTCTATTTAAATGTAATGATTTCTACTCATATGCTTTTTCTTGAAAAAAGCTGTCTCTCTTTCAATATAAACCTACATGCAACCTCACTCAGATAAATTCTACAATATAATAACAGAACAATTATAAAACTATATAGAATATAATAATAGACCAATAATTATATAACAAGCTACATAATGAATCTTATATTAAAAGAGGCCAATTACAAATCCATAACAATGCTTCCCTCAGCTCAAACTCCCTTCTCCTCCCTGCTCCTCGAGATTTTCACTAGAACAGTTAAGTACCTGAATGGGTACATCACTGAGGTAAGTTTGTTTTCTCCAGGCCTAGAAAGCAGATACAAATTCAGATTGTGTTGTTAGTGTTCAATAATGTCTACACACCAGATCAGAGATTTCATTAATATTTGCATCTGCCACAAGAAGAGCTATTCTAGATGGACAACAGAATACATTTAAAAGGAAGAACATATAATTGAATCTAAATTCAGGAAATGAAATGAATTAAAGAATCAAATAAAACCTCATATAGACAAAATATTTCCACAAATTCAATTTCAAAGATGTTGATATAAAATATCTCTCTGGTTTTATTACTCCAAATAAAGAAAGATCACACTCATTTCCACAAATTTAAGAAAGTAAACACAACAAACACAACTGGCCAAAGTGACTACACTTGCTAAACAGAAAGAAACATGATATGGAAATCAGATCAGACAGACTTTCTGATAAAATTAGAGTTAGCAAGATTCCAGTGTGTGGAATACTCAGCCTTTTGGCTAAGATCAAGTGCAGTATCTATGATAAGGTAGTTTCAATTCTATGTGCAATGTCTTTCTAACCCCCACTCACCGCACTTGAAGTAATCCATTTTGCAGTTCAGTCTGGGTTTGCTGTGTCTCCTGCTGGGTCCCGGATTTTCCTAATCCAAACCACATGAGGAAAATCAGGGGGAAAGCAGAGGTTTTTTAACTGAAATTTTTACACACATTAGAGGCAGGGATAAGAAGTACTAGTTTGTCAGCAAAAGTAATCAGTGGTCAGAAGAAAGTCATATTTGTGAGCCAGCTTCTCTCACACTGCCTCTGCCTGAGAAATCAATTGTTTGGTCCTTCAAAGAGGGAGTGTGGAGAGAAGGGAAGAGTAAAACTGACAGTAAATAGGAGCATAACTCACTACTGGTTATCTTCAATGACAGCTAAATATTTTTTTAAAGTGGAAATTTTGAAAAAAAGAAGTGAAAAAAGAATCTGAGATGGGAATGTTGCTGTGGTCAGTGCCCTCCAAGGATGCAGTCCTTGGACAGATACAGTGCTCCATCTTAATGCTCTCTCTGCCGCTCTCCCTGGAGCACTTATTCAAACATTTGCTCTCTCCTCATTAGGTATATGCTTTTCTACATTTACACTAGCTGAAAGGTGCTAATAGCTATCACCTTGGATCTGGTGATATAAGGCAGTCAGAGCAATCCTTTATAAACCTGCTACCCTTAGTGGCCATCTTTAGCTCCAGCAGAGGAAGCCACCATATATCTTTATATAGCTCCAGAGAGGGAACAGTCTATAGTACTGGGCAGAGATAAATTCAACAAATTAACAAATCCATCTAGTTCCAGTTGCAGAGAGTTGGCATTAAGCAGGTTATATTTGCTCCCAAAGTTTTAAAGAGGGTCTAGTGGCTGAACCAGCAGTAGCACCTGGAACAGAACTTGCTTAAACCCTAATCTGGCCTCAACATAACAGCAGGTACCAAAAGAACTTTTTAAACATTTGTGTTTCTCCAACTAGTACAATTCAACTCAGAGCTCAGAGATGAACTGAGAGGAAAAAGAAAAGCTTTCTTGGGATCTGTGGAAATAATTAGGTTGGACAGGATGAGCTTCTTCAACTCCAAGAGATACGGTGACCAAACCCAAACAGCTCAGCTTCCTCAATATACATAATACTGCTTTTATTATAATAATTCAGCTTTCAGTCTAAAAACATTTACATAAATTTACATGAGGAAAAGTATTCAAGTGCATTTCAAGGTATTATTAAATAATAAACCCTTCTCAAATGGTATTTTAATGCACTCAGTTCTTTCATCCAACTAGATCTTGACACAAGACATGAGTATAATAACTAATCCAGCATAAAAATGCATTACTCACCATCCCTAATAAATCCATTTGAAATAAAAGTCATGGCCATTTATTGCTGGCTGGGCATATGGTAGAGACATGGCCAAAGAAACAGTGATTGTGGCTGTGGTAAACAGCAAAGGGGAGAGAATTTCTAAGGGGGAAAACAGCCTTTCTTTCCACCATCCTGAAGGCAATTTTATTGTGAAGATATCACAAATAGCACACCCATTATGTATTGCTGATGCTCATCCACATGGGAAAAACTCTAAATTCTGGCTAAGGCT